AGAAGTGAAAATACCGAAGCAGCTCCTCCAGTCCACATGAGATTACCTCCAGTCAAAAACTTACACAACATATTACCAGGAATGCCACTTGGATGGCGAAAAAAGTGATAGAGAATGTACTTTGGTGTAATAAAAATTGCCACCATCATGTCGGATACTGCAAGGTTGATCAAAAGATAATTCATTGGTGTTCTCATTGACTTTTTCCAGGTAATAATGATGATTACCAGAGTGTTTCCAATCAGGTCTCCAATAACCAGGAAGGTGAATGTTATTGTGACTCCCAATTGTGCACTTTTGTCATCGGTGTAAAGACGTGACATYTTGTATTGACTGTGTAGAGAAAACATGAAATGTTTTGAAACRTGAAATCGCAGCAAAAATSATAACAAATTTAAAACGAGAACAACAACAGCAGCAGCTGCAACAACAACAATAGCAGCAATAGTATCAATAACGACAACAGAGTAAACGTTACAACTGGTGAAAGCTACACAGAACAGCATTTTTTCCGCTTGAAAAAAAAGCAATTCTATTTTTAATTTTTGGCTTTAATTATTGGCCCTCTCTCGGAAGTTTCGCTTAGGAAGAAGACTTCCGGATGCACACTGGCTATTAAGTTTCTTTATGATCGGAAAACCTACCTTCCACAGCAATCTAATCTCCAATCATGCTCCTGATAGGTTCCTCCTGATACACCTCTTAACTCATGTCTTTCCGAATACGAAGTGCACTCCAACAAACTCCAAGTTCACTTTTGATAAATAACTTTCAATTCATTAAAAACAGGTGTTTGGTGAAGTCTTAATTTTAACTAAATAAACTGCTCAAGCGATGTTTATGTTAGTCAATGTGTCGGCATCGGCTAAACGTMCAAAGGGAATGCTTACCTAGGAAGACTGAAYAATTCTAAGTTCAAAGTCCTCAACCTTTGAAAAGAGACGATGAGCTCACGCAGACAGACTAACCGGCCGCCGTGGTGGACTGCTGTCGATAAAATCCTGTACTCRGCCTCAAAGTGAACAGTCGCAAAGGGATGTTTAGACCATTAAAATGCTCAAGTTGTTTAATCTGTAAATTTAAACTTTGTCTGAATTGAAGGCACCGCAAATGTTGATAATGCGTTATTTGATTAAATTTTTCGATGAGGACAATTATCTTTTAGTATCAAGACTTTGTAACCTACCTGGTGTTATTCACCCGACAAACCAATTGGAGGACAAGCTTCTATAAAAGTTCATAGCATTTTTTGCCAATTAAGTCCCTTAAGTGCTGCTGTGTTTACTGACTTTRAATTGCTAAAACTGACKATGTTTACGACTTTTTGAAACAGTCGGCGAATTCGCCAAGCATCAAAGAGGCATCAAAGTAATGAATTTATCAACTGCGCGCGGGTGTATAATTACTATATTGACATTTTTAGTTTCATTATGAAAACTAATAGACTCAGCTTGAATATTATTGGATATCATCAAAACATTCTTTACCTTCTTRCAGCACAGTCGTATTTTCCGGTTTAAAACTGGTTTGACTGGTTTGTAAAATATGTGAGATCTTGACTGAAATCGGTGTTCAGAAAAAAAGGGCAGGGCCACGTTCAGCAATTCACTGTAAGATAYTTGAATTATCTTAGTTCAGTGTTTTTCTCACGAAATGTTTTCAAAGGACAGGTTCTTAAACCTTTTCAAAAAGATTATTAATCGTGATCGCCTTTTTGGCAATTTATAGACAAAATTTTCATATAGTTTTGCGCCTGCGTGTTCACTAGTACAATCAAACAAACTGATGAAACTGATGTATAGTAGTGTTTGCTGCTGTATTTTATTTTCTGTTGTTATAAACAGTCGTGGTTTTATTTACAAATAATTTTACATATAATATATATATGATATATAATGCATTTATTACATACAAACAATCGTTTCGATGAATTGCATGGCAAGCAGATGAAACTTCGCTTTTCAAAATACGGAAACTTTTGCGTTAAATATTTTTGCTAGTTATTTTATCGGAAATTGGATATTTTATACATATAGATATCGATAAATATTGATGAACTGAATACAATGCCGGTCTTTTATGACTTTAACCAATGCAAATGAATCGAAAGGAGTATATATATAAACAAATGAACACACTGGGTCACACCCTCAACGATGCGAGTATACATGTGTTTTTTCCATTCCAAATCGGGAGAAATATGGCTAATATTCCAGTGGCCAGTGATACAATAGGTGAATGGCGCTATCCACCGGATAAACCGTTATTCGGTGCCTGAAATTTGGAATACAAAATCTATGGAACTTTATCTGATGGATAACTTAATTTATTCACCTTTCGCACTCTGGTAATATTAACAGGAGAGGAATGGAAATTCATTTTTCGCATAACTGATAAAACATTTTTCCCCCCATCTAATTCAGCCTCCGAACTTTTTATGTGCACTCGATGTGGCAGCAATATACAAGACATGGATAAAAAGAACCACACATGAAAAGTTYGACGTTGAATCTCTGAAAGTATTACATCTAACCTCTTTTACTATCTACATGGACTTGTTTTAAAGGCGAATCRACAACTTCATCCGTCTGTTGTAAGTACATCATCTTATGTTGTATTTTAACAATTTTGGCTTGAAACCGCAATATCCTTTCTTGCAAACGAAGAATTTGTTGAACCGTKGTAGGACTTCTGCATTGTGTCATTTGTCTATATTGACTAGACGCTTTACCGAATGGATGTTCAATTTGTATTGTAACAGGTCGAGCTGTTGCACTACTAGTTCTTCCAGTAGACGCAGGAAATGTTTCAGGCTCTTCCATAATGGGAGAACTTCTCCCAATAGGCATATCAGCATTCTGTCTGTCCATCAAGGAATGTTCAGGTCCCAGTGTCGATTCAATAATATCGCGCSCTGCAAAGGGATCTCCAGCCTTATGTATATTCGTAACAGATCTRCCTAGTCTTTTCTGTGATGTTGCCGATTGAATATCTGGGAAAGTGTCCACAGTAGCTGCATTAACGATATGCCTCCCACTGACATCCCTGGATAAATGAGTATTTTCAGTGACTGGTTGACCTGCGGTCGAAGTTGTTAATGAAGTTTTTCTATGTCTAATATCATGAAAGCTTTTTTTCAATTCAGCTAYGCTTGGYYTTCGTGCTGTGGGCTTTCGTCGTGGTTCGGGTTCCAAYCCTAAAAAGTCGCCCCAAGTTCGTTTGATAAGCGGAGCAACTAAAGTCCATATAAAAACTAAACAACATAAAAAGCTTGCAGACATCTGMACCCATACGGCTGCCCAGTTTTTAATAAGTTTCTTAAAGTCTTCGTTTTCATCTGGACTATGCCAGTTCGTAATCACCATCATCAAATGAAGAGATGCRATGAACAAGACAAAGTGAAATATCGAATAGCTATACGCTACATTCTCGCTTTCGTCTTCATCGTCGTCGTGGTTTTTAACGCTTTTTGATTTTCCTTTTGATCTATTCTTACGTTTCGAGGTTAGCATRTATTCAGGGTTATCAGATAGACAAATCCCTAATTTGCTAAGTTGCGATGTGCTTGCGCGAACAGTACATGCAAAAGTCAAAAGAGCGAAAGTCAACACAGAGCCAAAGACCGCCTGGCCATTGACTCCCGAAGCTTTGTCATATTCTAATATTACGTCTCCTAATGGATTGCACATACTGTCTGGTTGACTAGATAAAGTATTCCAAGTAAGGTACATAGTATATATTGTCACCACGGAAGATTGAAGAAGTCCAGCTCCAGTAGCTTCTTGTTGTATCTGCGGCAATACCGAAATAATTGTCGCAAGAGCGCAGTGTGCAACATTAAAGCTAATATAGAATGTATTTGCCTTGCATTGAGAAATATCAACTGGGTTTGTAAAGTTTAAGTACAAAATAGCGGCCGCACATAACGACAGAGCRTATACAACTGCAGTAGCGAAAGCGAGTGCAAAAAACCAACACCGTGTGTTTAGAACATCCATCTTTTCTGCCCAGCTCACGCTCCACGAGTAACCAAAGTCGATTATAAGAACGATTTGAAAGAGTAAAAACATGAATCCACCAGTTAACCCGACGTACATCCATATCATTCCAAACTGTGTGATATTTGGAATATAAAAAGCACCAATGAACAGAAGCGTTAGTATGGAAAGTTTAATGTACCAAAATCCATTGTGGATTTTAGCGCGAAATTGTTTAGTCGATGTGATATTGTAYGTTATTATGCTAAAAAACAAATAGAAAACSGCCATWACAAAGAACACCCGGTAGGCGGCAGAATATCCAACCAGATTGTCACATACTTTCTTGGATGAAATTGTCCCACAAAGATACGGTACTTTGTTYAAGTAATGTCTCATGTCTGGCACAAGCATAATAAAACTCAATATGTTACCAAGTCCAAGTATCAGAATGAAAATAAGTCTTGATCGGGCTCCCTGTGTACTGCCTTTTTTCTTGCAAAGAAGACTACAAGCAGCCGATCCGGCACAACAAGCAATTTCACTCGCAACTTCTGCCAATCCAAGCGTCTGTAGGGCTGCTCCCATAGAAACCCATATAGACCAGTTTGTCACGTGACTGCCACTAGACCATCAGTGACTAACTGTAACGCAAATATAGTGATCTTTGTAGTATTAAACGTGAAGTAAACTGACAGGAAAAGGTGCGAGACTCCGTTCAAACTCCCTCCACTCAGTTGCAAATGCATGCACGGATAACCTCGTCAATTCTGCAACAAAACAAATATGATATATAGAGCTCATTGAAAAACGCTTTTTMATCATTTGCACTAGATAGTTTTTCCGTGAACCTTATTTCTAACTATCCAATGATCCATGTTTTCAATTTGGCGTGTTTTGAAGTGAACATCTTYGGTTGGTAAAACACGYCTAAYGGTTCAGCAAGTAGGAAATTGTAACAATAATCTCATTATTGGTTTGCAGTTTTCCAAAGAATGACAAAAAAGTACATACCTAGAGTTTTTGTTGTCCTTTCTTATTTTTCTTGTCATGATTTTAGAGATTATAAAGAAACAAGYTTCAAACCGATGACCAGAATAATGTTATGTCAACGCCTTTGATGTTCCAAATCACACGGTCAAGAGGCAAGAACCAAAATACCAACTTTGCTTGGAATTCCCACAATTATCCAAMCTTACRTGCAATTKTTCAGCTTGCTGAAACTCCTAAAAAGTGAATAATTCGTAAAATGCAGCACAACTCGCTTGAATTGCAAAACGGTAGAGTTTTTTGGGCAAAAGTTTGAATTGTATTTCAGGCCGTGATGTTGTTTGGAGTGTTTTTATTACGTCAAGGTTACGACAGGTAGTTCTTGCGTGGTTCACTGATTTGGTAAATTATAACACTCCGGGCTTGGCCTTACTGATGTGTTTCTATAGTAACAACTCCACTTTGTTTACGTATCTCAAAGTCCTAAAATATCGGAATTCCRAATCTAAATATTRACCATGATGCAGCGCGGTCGTGGATCATTTTATTTCCAGCCACTTTAAGGTCATTCTCAATATCTTTTGAAGGTCATTTCCATAGCTATCAGATTATTTTATCAAGATACCTACGAATGTTTCCGGCATGGAGAGTACGTTCAGATAATCTAAGTTTTTACAAACAATTAAACTTTTCAAAGCTTTAAGGATAGGCACGGTTTTTAAGCATCCACTACTACTGGCCTGTAAAGTGGCTGGAGGGGTTAAAACGCACAGGACAACGCACAGTTAACCTCTAGTGTGATTATTTTCTGCATCTTTTGGAAATATCTGAGGAAAAAAAAAATCAAATTCAAGGAATTCTAATATTTTTTTGTATAAGGAAAGTAAATATTAAAAAGATGTTATTTATCCACTTTGAATTCAAAACTACTTGCTGCTTAAAACTATGTACTTATTGACTGAGTGGGAGGGCCGTACGGGAAAATATTTGGCTCGAGGTTATGCCGTACGGACCAAGCGCAGGTCATATGATAATGGATATTATTATACTTCTAGGACTAGATATTTATAACAGCCAGCAAGCTTTGTCGCTAGTCATAAAGGCACTTAAAATTAGTTCAGGTGACTAAAACGAAAAAAGAAACCGCGAACGCAATACATATAATTTSTTTTTTCCAGACTTGCTAATGCTAATTTTCCAGACTGGGGATATTAAGTTTCGTAACTTAACGTCCAATGAAATACCGAGAAATCAATCAGAATGAAAATATAGGGTGTTTTTCACTCTAACGGAGTGTTGATTGTTTTTTTGCCGAAGAGTTAAGGTGTACAATAATCCGACTTGTAGGAATCCTATCATAAACCAATTGAGTTCTCTATAATGTGGTCCACTGAGCCGAAAGTTGGAAAAGCCGTCTATCGAATTGAATGACTTAAAAGTAGGAAACCTCTTCATAACAGTCACTTCAATGACGTAATTTCCGTAAAAAAATGGTTTATGAGTATATCGCTGACACTTGCAATGTTTACTGGCCTTTCTCACTGAAACTTGTATGTAWYATGAATATTGCATGAGRCAACACAAATAAATTGGAAAGATAATGTCAACGTCTGATTAGCATTTCCAACTGGATTGTCGACATGCATGGCTGTTCCATACTCGCCTTAGTCTTGGTTCTGATGTACAGATGTGCCAAATGTGAAGGTGTGTAGATTGTTTCTAGCATACTTGGTGATTAAAACGTCTGTCTAAATAACGTTTTTTTTTCTAATCCTGCAGCTAAGAATTGTACAAGTGATCCAGRCTGTGGAAAGAATTCTAGATGTATTAAGAGCTATTGCACTTGTAAAGATGGTTTCGTATCTTCATCTACAGCGAAAAAAGGGACAAACTGCATTAAATGTAAGATCAGTTGTACATTTGCYTTATAACATACTCATAACAACCATAATGTAGGACATCTTTTTGGTGGAATAATATCAAATGATACTAGGTATATTAATTTTTCAAAAGATGCGGTTAATATTAATATGATTCCACTTAAATGTCACCCATTATATTACAGCAGGTYTCTTTATAGCAGAAATCATAACTTTAATTCACATCTGGTCTTTGTGGCTTTTTTTTCTCCCGCCTATAATTTTCGTGTAGTGTGTTGTTTGGTGTTCTTTCCAAACACATTAAACATCGCACATTATATGTTTATCGATAGCCATAAACAAGGGAAACAGGGATTAAAATAATCAACGAACAATAGTCGGTGGACATCGCAACAGCTGAAGTCCTTTCAATGCTAATAGTATTTGATAAGGAGAGGGAATTATTTTTAGTGTCATTAACCATGAGGACGTATTCAAARGGACATTTGATGTTTGCCTTGGAACACGTTCTACCTATTTTAAGTTATAATGTTCGCTCGTAAAAACCCAGGTTCTTATCTATATCTTTCATCACGTTCAAATCCTCCGGTCCTACACCTTCGGATTCCACTTTCAGTTTGTTTTGTTTTCAATATAAAATATGTTAATCGCCCCCAAAAGCGTCAGTCGATGACCCTCCTTGATCCATCCAACCATAGAAATGAATCGAGTCATTAGTCCAACTCAACCGCAAGAATATGAACTGTTTATAGAAACATTTATTTGACATTTTCAGCAGCGTTTCATCTTTTTTTCACAATTTTGTTTTAAATTGCTCCTCGGTTAAGTGATTTGAAGTAGATTGCSCGTTTCTATGGAGATTTGAGATAAACTCAAACTCTAGAGACTTTGCATTGTTAAGATTAAAAAACGATTTCTCTTGGGCCGGAAAAGAAACGTCAGAAAATATAAAGATGTTATTACCTTAAAAATCGAAATAATGAAGCATCATCAACAGATGTCGGCTATTATCAAAATACACGTAGTCTATAATWAAAAAAGATGGAATTAATCACGTTTCGCTTTCTCGAATAACCAAAAAAAAACTAAGCCTTGACGTGACCTGKGAAGTAAACAATTTATTATTTTGAATGCTGTAGTTTCGAGACCCCTTAATTTTTCCATGTTTTTCGGAGGGTATGTGTCAAACACATTATTTTCACTTTCGATATGCAAACAGGAAAACTATTAAATCTTGCTCGCAGATTTCTGTCACTTAAACCTTAAACACTGAATATTTGTATTGTAAAACGTCTTGATAACGGAGCTCTTTCTTCCCGGATCCTWCTTTTCACGTTGAATTTGCCACCGTTGAGCTTTGGTCTGACTCTGTGCCGTTCCACGCTATTAGACCTAAACACAGTTTCTTATGTCTACCGTCTTCTCACCTTGCACGACCAAAGAGTACTAATCGAACTACGACAGGTGGCGTTAGATTATTTTGTAGATATTTGTTTTAATTCTCCAGCTTTTAGACAAAGCTGTTGTTTCCTTGTGTGTTTTATTATAAGCTTATTTTTCAAGTAAAAAGCAAAAATCCAATAATATAATTTTTTGAACGACACTTTTATCAGTGGAATTWTTTTTATAGAAGTGTTTGAATATTTTTTTTTTATTTTTAGTCATATTGATGGATGGTGCTTCCTTGTTTTGACGGAGAACTGTACAATTGTCGTTTATAGATTAAAACTCATTAGACTTGAGGCTTCACTCATGTTCAATATGACTTTATCATCAAATGAAAAGATAAAGCTCGGTTTCCCACGTATTTTAAGATATAGAAAAAAACATGACACTTTTCCAACTTCTGGTGGGAGGATTTTTAATGATTGACGCCTCTTTTTCAGCTCCCAAGGGTTGAATTCCCTATTTTGCCTTTTATCATTTTCTTTTATATATGTTTGTAACAGTCATCAAAGCCTAGAAAAAAAGCATGAAATGGAAGTCTAGCTCCTCGTGTTGTTGCGTGAAATAAAATATCCACCCAAAATACATTTCCTTGTTTTCTTTGCAAAAAATGCAAGTAGTTCCGTTTCTTCAAAGAAACTCAATAAACGCTTTGAGGAACTATATTTTTGAGGAAGCTGACTATTCCGTCATGCTTTGTTCTGGAAAATGACGTCGCTTCGTTCTTTAATGCAGTATGATAATTCCAATGTTTTATTTTTCTTAATATTTGCAGCTTCCAAACAAGGAAACGGACTGAGTGAAGGAGAAATAGTTGGTATTGTCGTAGGGTTGATAATTGCAGTTCTTGTGTTGGCTGTTGTTTTAGCTGTTGTTTTCTACTTCAAAATCAGCAAAAGGTATTTCTGCTAAACCACTTGTTTGTACTAGTAGATCTAGAATAGAAACGCTCATGT